ACATACATACATACATACATACATACATACATACATACATACATACATACATACATACATACATACATACATACATTGGTGTTTACGATAAAGCAACACAAGTTTGCCATTTAGCGCCTAGGTAATTAATTTATCCTCGTATGTCAGGCAAATCCTAACATGTGCCAATACCAATGGACCATCAATCAATATCATTGCTGGCAAAGATATGATTATCACGTGATATACTTGCAGCGATTTTGGACATTCATGTTCAATGTCCGGAATTTATCGGACTGCCTCTAAGCAAAATAAAGTCGTCTTAACTTAAACACTTGTTATTACCGTTTTATTACATATTCATTATTTATTATAAAAAATTACACTAATTTGTGTGAGGTAGGTGTGAACATAAACTATTTTGATCTTATATAGTGTGCTTTAAATTTGAACATAAGTTACTTTCTCCCTGAAAGGCACAGAAAACTATTTTATAACAGTTACATACAATCCTATTTACACTATTGTAATACAGTATAGGTTAATTCAAATGATAAAACTTAGCAAAGCTGGCATATCTTAAGAAAGAACATTTTGGCTGATATCAATCCATAAAGAAATCAAGGAAAATTGGCTAGTAAGTTAAAACTATTATCTATCATAGACTGAATCTTTTTCATTAAAGTCAAATTAAAGTTCAGGATATCCAATAATAGTTCTGCTGAATATTTACCTGGCAATATTCCCCACCTGTGATCCATGTCTACCATACATTTCTCCTGACAACTAGGACAGCTCTATTGGCAGGATGAGAACCCTTATGTTCGGAATGCCACGACAGCTCCAGCTTACATAAGTTGCCTCTTCTGGCATGCATGAAAACGCAGCGTGCCTAATTAGCACTATAGATCAAATAATTATAGTTCTTCAAGTTATTCAAATGTGTTTACAAAAATGAGTGGTATGGTTGGGGGTGTTGGGGTTGTGGTATCTCAGTTAGTAGGCCACATATAGAAATATAAAGACGTATCCCAATAATCCGAAGCTCGCAACAATATATTTTTCATGTTTTACTCCTACCCGGTGTCGGGAACATATTTATCATTCTCACTCTATCAAGTGCCAGGACCATACATTTTTGCATGTTATACTCTATCCAGTGTCAAGACCATTCATTTTTGCATGTTTCACTCCAACAAGTGTCAGAACCATACATTTTTGCATGTTTCACTCTATCTTGTGTCAGGACCATTCATTTTTGCATGTTTCACTCCATCAAGTGTCAGGACCATGCATTTTTGCATGTTTCACTCCAACAAGTGTCAGAACCATTCATTTTTGCATGTTTCACTCCATCAAGTGTCAGGACCATTCATTTTTGCATCCTTTACTCTATCTAGTGTCAGGACCATATATTTCTGCGTGTTTTACTCTATCCAGTGTCATGAACATACATTTTTGCAATGTTTCACTTTATCCATTGTTAGGACCATACATTTTTGCAGGTTTTACTCTATTTAGTTTCAGGATCATATATTTCTGCATCTTCCACTCTATATAGTGTCAGGAACATACCTTTTAGCAATGTTTCACTCTATCCATTGTCAGAACCATTCATCTTTGCATGTTTCACTCTATCCAGTGTCATGGCCATACAGTGTTGCATGTTTCACTATATCCAGTGTCAGGACCATATATTTCTGCATGTTTCACTCTATCCACTGTCAGGAACATACCTTTTTGCTATGTTTCACTCTATCCAGTGTCAGAACTATTCATTTTTGCATGTTTCACTCTGGCCAGTGTAAGGACCATACATTTTGTATGTTTGACTATATTAATACATTTTAATGGTTCATTTTATAGTGTCATGAACATGCACTTTTCACGCTTCACAATATCAAATATTGGGAACATACCTTTTCATGTTTCACTTTATCAAGTGTCAGGACCATATATTATTTGCATGTTTCGCTCTATAAACGGTAGGGACAATGCAATTTTAATGTTTCTCTCTGCCCTTTGTCGGGACAATCTATATTTTATTTCACGTTTCATTGTATCAAATGTCGGAACCATTCATTTTCCATGCTTCGTCAAGTGTCCGGGACATACATTTTTCACTCTGTCAAGCGTCAGAGAAACAGGAAAAATATAACTGTATAAATATATAACGAAAAAAAGTTTTCGATGTTTGTGATGCTACAACTATATGAACTTAATCTGCGAAACCAACAAGTTTATTAAAATTAACCTATAAATTTATTTTTCTGAGGCCATTCTTTTCTATCCTCAATCACGGACAAAGTTCAAACACAAATAAATTAAAGAATCATAGTGAAAAGAAGGAAATGTAGCTCATCATTGATTTACATACCACATATGTTTTTTTATCTCTTTTAGTAGATACTAGGTTGCCGAGCATGTTCATTGTTTAGCTTGCCATAATCCAAATTCAAAAGTTCCAGGAGCGAAGCCTGCCGAGATCATACCGCCTCAATAGCTCTGGTGGTTCTCTGGGCAAAGCACATTATTTCCATGGCCTCGTCTCTACATAACCTATTGTGTGTTGGTATGCGCTTTAACACCAAAATAAACGTTTTAAATAACCTAGAATGTGTTCATATGTGCTTAAAGTCTAAAATAAACGTTTCAACGTGTTTATTATAAGCCAGTCAAATACCAAACAATAGTTTCAATATGTTTGTAATAATAATACAATGTAAAAAATAAACACATCCATCCATCCATCCATCCATACATCCATACATATCTCTTTGTTTCGATTGAAAGAGTCGTACTGTACAAGAATCAGAATGAGGCTAACATTTTATTTTTGTGTACGATTGTTCTGTTACCTTAATCAAGGTTTTCATGCAAAAGAAAAAACATACTGTGTACCCACATTTGGAAATGATAACAAAGCAGCATGATTTCTTTCTAAGAAATTGATTCCTTTATCAGCATTTTCCCTGCCACAATGTGTGTGTGTGTGTGTGTGTGTGTGTGAGAGAGAGAGAGAGAGAGAGAGAGAGAGAGAGAGAGAGAGAGAGAGAGAGAGGGAGAGAGAGAGATTTACATATTCTATACCTCAATATAAGGGTAGTCGAGATCGTATTTAAAAAGTAGATTTGACGTAAAGAATTCTTCGGTTGAATTTTTTTATTCACCAATTAAATTATCGCTTTCATATTTCTGAAATTAACAAACATCACAAGGAGCAGATTGTTTCCAATAATAACTCTCCCTTGAAACCTGTATCTGATAGGATGCTAACAGAGAGTGAAAAGGGAAGTACAAAAGTCATATGAACTATTGTCGGTTCCTTTTAGATCTCCTTTATATATGGAATCTTATATTTAATCAAATTGTCTCTCCCTATAACAGCGTGCAAGGAATATCCCAACATTAGAGACTTACGCAAACCTAAAAATACGTACCCCAACATTACACACATATGCATATCATATTGTTTCTATCTAAAACAGAATGAAAGGGGTAAATGAACATTATTCATACACACAAAATTGTCTACCTAAAGGAGTACCTCAACCTTACTCCGCACTACCAAATTGTCTCTACCTATCACAGTCTCCAAGGAGTAATCCAACATTACAGACTCATGCAACAAATTGCATCTACCTAAATCACTATACAGAGTAATCCAACATTACTCATACGCACCGAATTTTCTCAACCTAACGCAGCGCGCAAGGACTACCCAGCATTAGAGATTTATACACACCAAATCGTGTGTACCAAAAACAGCATGCAAAGAATACCTAAACATTACATACTCGTACACACCAAAGTCATTTTTACTTAAAACAGCGTGCAAGGATAACCCAAAATTACAGAAGCACACAGAAATTGTCTCTACCGGAAAAAAAAAGTGTAGGAGTATCTCAATATTGCAGACTCACACACCAAATGGTCTCTACTAAAACAGCGTACAGTGAGTATCCCACAATTACCGAATCACACACTAACTTATTTCTACCTAAACAGCGTGCAAGGAGCACCCCGCCAGTACAAACATGTACACACCAAATTATAACTGCCTAAAACAGCGTTCATGGAATATATTAACATTTCTAATACATACCAACTTTTCTGTTCCTAAAACAGCTTACAAGGAGGGCTCCAACATTACTGACTCACATACCCCCCCCCATTGGCAGTATCTAAAACAGATTTCAAGCACTCCAACATTAATGACTCACATACCCCCCCAATTGGCTGTACCTAAAACAGATTGCAAGCACTCCAACATTACTGACTCACATACCCCCCCATTGGCTGTACCTAAAACAAATTGCAAGCACCTTAACATTACTGACTCACATACACCCCCCAAATTGGCTGTACCTAAAACAGATTGCAAGCACTCCAACATTAATGACTCACATACCCCCCCCAATTGGCTGTATCTAAAACAGATTTCAAGCACTCCAACATTAATGACACATACCCCCCATTGGCTGTACCTAAAACAAATTGCAAGCACCCCAACATTACTGACTCACATACACCCCCCAAATTGGCTGTACCTAAAACAGACTGCAAGCACTCCAGCATTACTCTCTCTCTCTCTCTCTCTCTCTCTCTCTCTCTCTCTCTCTCTCTCTCTCTCTCTCTCTCTCTCTCTCTCTCTCTCTCTCTCTCTCTCTCTCTCTCTCTCACACACACACACATACACGCGCACACACATACATACATTGTCTCCATCTAAAATAGCTTACAAGGAGTACTCAGCATTATTAACTCGTACACATACACACGTACATATGTAGGTCCACTTATTCTCTCTTCCCGTCAGATGCTATTTTACTCAAAATAATTATAACTAGTTTATCACGTGACTACTGTCTTATTTCTGCATAACAACCCATATCATATTTTGCTGATATTACTGTAAGAGCAGCTCAATACGAAATGACATGATGCCATATGGAATGGCTAGGTAATCATTTGCGAAGCATCCAAATGAACTGTGATGTCCATATAACTACTTTGCTACCGCTCCGGTGGCCTAGTGGTTAAAGCGTTTGCCTTGGATGCGTAAGGTCGTGAGTTTGATTCCCGGCCGAGTCATACTAGAGACTTACACAAATGCTACTTACAGCTGCTTCGCTCGACGCTCAGCATTAAGAGGTTAGTGTTAGGACTGGTCGGCCTGGTGTCAGGATAATATGACTGGGTGGGACATCATGCTACAGTCTTTTTAGCAATGTACAGTCTGCATATCACCCTCGCTACAATACTGAAACCGCTCTTCTGAAAGTAGTCAACGACCTTTTCTCTGCTTTGGATGCGGAAGGACTAAAGTCCTCACTCCCCTTGACTTGTCTGCAGCAATTGGCACTATAGACCATGATATATTACTTCACCGTCTCCAGCATGTATTTGGCATTCACGATACGACTTTACTATGGTTCAAGTCCTACTTGGTCAACAGGACACAAATTGATTCTGCAAATGGAAAACATTCCAGCCCAGTTGATCTATGCTGTGGTGTTCCACAGGGGTCTGCTCTTGGACCTGTTCTCTTCATTATGTACCCTCAGCCACTCTCAAGTGTCATAGATCATCATCATCCAATTGTATGCTGATGACACTCAAATATACAAATCTGAAGCTGAAGTTGAAACTACCATCCAAGACATAGAGAGGTGCATTTCTGATGTAAAATCATGGATGACATGTAACAAGCTGCAGATGAATGATGATAAAATTGAAGCCATCCTGATTATAAAACAAAGACTTTCTCATTCACATCCTTTACTTCAGACAATAAATATTAGCAACACTTGCATTAAATTTAAGCAATCAGTACGAAACCTCGGTGTCACTCTTGACAGTATTCTCTCATTGCATCGACATGTCATGAATATATGCCAGGCTGCATATCTTGAGCTGAGACGCGTCAGCTCCATTCGCAAGTATCTGTCAATTGATGCCACAAAAACACTTGTGTGTTCCTTAGTACTTTTAAGCCTGGGTTATTGTAATTAAATTCTGTCTGGTTCATCTCATTATCTACTTCATAAACTTCAAAAAGTTCAAAACACTGTTTCTCGGATCATCCTCAGAGTACCATGATCAGAGCATGCCTTTCCGCTGCTCTGTTCCATACACTGGCTATCCATACGATCCAGAATTAAACACAAAATTTGTTCTCTGTGCTACGTTTCACTAACGGACTCCAGTCCTACATACCTATCTGACATCTCCCATGTGTATACACCTGCAAGATGCTTACGCTCCTCTTCTGACATTCGCATTCTCAATATTCCCACAATGAAGTTGAAATCATATGGACAACGTTTTTTTGCATACCAGGGCCCAGCAACGAGGAACGAATTGCCCACTACAATTAGACACAAAGACAGTGATCTCATTCAAGAGCGCACTTAAAACCCATCTATTTCAAATGCAAAAACAGTTATAATGACCTAAAAATGTATCCTTTTTAACGTATCCTTACCTTAATAATTTACAGCATGTTCTCTGTTTCTAATTTTGTGGTGTTTGCTTTTAATTTTTGTAATCATTTCATTATATATGTTGTTTTTTTAATTCTTTTTAAGCATTGTCAAATGCTATAAAGCGCTTAGAGCTTCTAAAGTTTAGGCGCTATATAAAGTCCTCGTTATTATTATTATTATTATTATTATTATTATTATTATTATTATTATTATTATTATTATTATTATTATTATTATTATTATTATTATTATTATTATTATTATTTGCGGCATGATGTCCCAGTACTAGACATCACTATAAACTGCCACACTGCAGACATTGTAGTGATATGAATGAAAAATAAAGCTACGTTAAAATACAAATCTCTCTTTCACAACACACACACACACACACACACACACACACATATATATATATATATATATATATATATATATATATATATATATATATATATATATATATATATATATAGAGAGAGAGATATAGACAGATATATATATAGACAGATATATATATATATATATATATATATATATATATATATATATATATATATATAAAGGATACAAATCATATGGCGAATAACAACCCTTTCAAGCGTACTGGATCCACCAAGGGATCACGTGTGTCAGGGATTAATTAAAATAGATGCAATAAACTGACGACGAACAGTACGAAACTAGTAACTAATATATAATTGTGTTCATTTCAAATGGACTTTTAGAAATTGGAAGGATAACTTTTCAGTCTTGGAAACTATTTTGTGCATTTCATAAATTGTATTTAAAATAACGCATTCGTTTAATCTCTTGTACATCTAACCATTGCTTCCTAACAATCAGAAACCCCTGTGACGAGACACTGCAGCTATTTAAAGATGTGCACATGTCGTTTGTGAGTACTGACCACTCTGGCCGTATGGTGGACCTTTGGAATAATGGCTGCTGTTATTCTCAGCTCTATAGAAATCTTGGATATAATTTACATCTTAATTGGGTAGGCTTTGTATTTGTCTGTCTGTCCGTGTATATACATCGTAGGCATGCATGTATGTTTCTTTCTATGGGTTTGTTTGTCTAAATAACATGTTGAATAATATAAAGTATTATTCCTGTATGTGTAATTATATTGTCGTATGTACGTGTCTGACCTATTGGATATATATATATATATGTGTGTGTGTGTGTGTGTGTGTCTGTCTGTCTGTCTGTCTGTCTGTCTGTCTGTCTGTCTCTGTATGCTTAATGTGTATGTTGATAATTAAACTAAAGGCCATATGAGTTCATGCATGGATATATATATATATATATATATATATATATATATATATATATATATATATATATATATATATATATATATATATATATATATATATATATATATATATATGTGTGTGTTAATTTATTTAGCTTATTAATTAATTAACTAAATGAAGAAACATATAGTCGATAAATTAATACGCATTTAAAAAAACCGATGGAATGCAATAGTTCATTTTTTAAAAGTCGCATCGAGCGAATAATAATAATAATAATAATAATAATAATAATAATAATAATAATAATAATAATAATAATAATAATAATAATAATAATAATAATAATAATAATAATAATAATAATAATAATAATATCGACTCTTATTATTTCCTTTCGTATTACATTTGGAAATGTGCTAACATTTTACAAGACAATTAAGTATAAACATCAGAGTACGCTGCTTATCTTTCAGCTTGTAGCGCCTAAACATGCCATGCCTGGAGAAAGTGTATGTTTTGCCTTTAACATTACGAATAATGGTTACGCTGCCCCATTTAAAGCCACTGATGTTCACCTAGGAATCTTTAATACAAAGTAAGAGCGAGAGAGTGGTACTTATCAATTAGATGGTTATTTTCTGAAATTTCAAAGCGGCCATCTTATGATTTGCTGTTAAAAACTCAAGAGCAGTTGTGTTTGCTTTAATATTTAAAGTGTTTGTTTTGATATTAGCTTGCAAAAATATCATTATTTTTTCACCCACCACCACATAAATAACCCTAAAAGAACACACACACATCCACCAAAAATCAAACACAACAAAAGACAAACTTAAAGTTGCAGTCTTTGAGAAGGAGACAATACGGCTTCTATTGCAAATATGGATTAGACATGTACAGCATTGACAACCATGTTTATAGGCCAGGTACTTAATTATTGTAAAACTTCGTTGTGAATTCAGGTACCTAATTGTCTTTCTCCATGTTAAATTTTCAGTAACTGCTATCAGAATATTTCATCAAAAGTTTCATGCTTTTAGATTCTGTCATTTTCGCCACTATTTGTCAGTATTTTATTACCAAATTATATCCAAGCGCGTTTCAATATCACATTTTAACCAATTCGCTTAATTTTGTCGATTTTTTTGGATTTTTTGATTATTTACGGTAAATCCATTGTACAAGGCCTCTAGACACCGTCACTGTACGAAGCAAACCCTATGTTTGCCATAAAACGGACGCCCCATGTTCTTATATATGTTATAAAGCAGAGACTATTGGACGCTAAAGTTTTACTATGAGTACCCTATTCCATTGGCCAAAATTTTACTACCCTATTTTACTACGCATTTTAAATGTGTATTTAAGTTTTACTACGAGTACCCTATTCCACTGGCTAAAGTCTTGCTAGGAAAACCATGGTCCAATGGCAATAGAAATGTTACTATACCTTGGAGATGGGTTAATTATATTGTATATCTTGGAGATGGGTTAATTATGTTATATTTTTCAAGCACGTACGTGAAGCAAAACATTCTCTTACACTATAACTACTCATATCACCTACCCAACAACGTTTTGGTGATGGGTGCTAACCTAAGTAATGAAAGTGCTAAACTAAAATAAATTTTTATACAAATAAAGATAAATAAATACCAAATCCTTTTGTGTTTAGGGACAAGTTGTTTTGTTAAGGTCAAAAACAAACACATACACACAAACGTGAGCACGCACACCAACTCACAAACACATACACACATACACGCGCACACCAACATAAACACAAATGCACAAACACAATTTCGCACATACGTACGTGCGAACACCAACACATACACATATCAAAGGAGTTAGTGTTTATAGTCACACTACTCCACACTCACAAAACTTTGGCAAACTTATCAGTCTCTTTTCTAGAGATCTGGCTAGCCCTGAGAAGGACATTTTTTAAAACTCCAAATCATGGCATCTTCCAGATCTAGCACCACAAATAGGACGACTCCAGTAGTGGTTGGGAGCGAAGAGGCATCTTAAGTGGCGTCAGAACCACAATCTTCAGTTTCTGGGATTCTGAAGATTTGCTCCTGTGTCTTCTTCTTCTATACCACATTCGGGGAAGCTGTCCTTGTCGTGGCTCTTGCTGTCCTTCCAGCTCCCCAGTTTTCGGTCTGGGGAACAGAGGCTCTTGGTACTGGTAGTAGTGGCTGTGGTTGTTGTTGTTGATGTTGTTTTGGCTGTTGTACTGGTATTGGCTGTGCAGGCGTCATCACCTGAGGCTTTACCTAACACAACAGTTTTAGTATAAGGTGAGGCAGTCTTCTTTCATTCTTTCTTCTCTTTT